TACATGTATCAGTCAATCCTATTTGTGTATGACGCAGAACGTAAGAAGTCACATTGAGTGAATTGAGTGTTTAAATTGATATGACAAATTCCGACTTTGAATTTATCATCGATCATTCTGATTAACTTTGATTGATTAACTTTGAGGACCATGGACAGGATGCATAGCTTCACAGGACGCATGTGGAAAGGAATGATTTGGGGCTTGCCTCTGTGAAACCAGTGGAGTTGGAAAGTTAGGATCTGTATCATCAAAAAGACTGAATTGTTACATGCATATGCATTTTTCCCGTCGCCTCATCATGTTCATTTTGAAACAGAGTTGTCATTTGACCCATGTGAGAGTCTGAGTCGATTGCTTTGATGTCAAGCTGTAAACTACACCAGACGTGCTGTCAGGGTGGATCTGTGGCATTGTCACTCGGATGGGGGAAAATGATATGTTATTGTTTCCCATTAGAAAATTAGCTAGGCTGTCAAGATTCCCAGTTTTCTTGAGATCTGCAAGATGCCTTGAACCACAACTCCTGAACCCATAAAATTTAAAATTCATGGCTTAATCAGGCAGTAGAAGTCAATGCCCCTCGTGGGGCAACTTTAAAATGGTTGTCTTATATTGAACCCAAATTATTATTATTTTTTCATTTTTTTATTTTGTCTTTACCATTATACAGATCTCTAAGTCCCTGAAATATGCAACTAAAATGGAATGAATAAAGTACAAATTGAGACCCAAAGCAGATCCTAAGAATCAATTTTCCTTTACGCCATGTCCAATATGAACTATGGAAATAAAGGGGAACAATCAAGAGAATGGTATGTGGTTTAATTTCTAACACAATCCTTTTATTTGTTCTTGTCGTGCAGGGACTATTGCTTGTGTAGCAGAACTACTCAACTCAGGAAGGAACCAGACGTGTATAATCAGGAATTCGAGTCTCTCTATGCGCATCTTCATTTGTAACAAACGAGGTACTGAAAACTGAAAATAGCTATGAGCGCAGCTCATGTGCAGGCTTCATAAACTCATTAAATGTGCCTGGAAATGGACTGTTTTCTGTCTGGAAGTCATGGAGGCAATGCCTAGTCTTCCTTTATATCTTAATCTTCTCTTGGGTTTCATGAAATAACTGCTAACAAGATTTAGAGAGTTCAAACGTGTGGAGTCTCTTCACTCCCAAGGATCTAGTCTAGTGTCGCTTGGCCCAAGAACAATGCTAATTTTACTGATGTAAAATGCACAGGATTATCTAATGGGTAATGACGGCTTTTGAGCAAGTCCGAGTGCTGTCTTTGAAGTTCAACAATATGCAACAAATAGTAGTCCTCATAGAAAAATAAATAGATCACATGATTGGAGCTTATGAATTTATAATTTGTGCTCAAGGATGGGAAGATTCTTGTTGTTCCCTCCCTAGCTAAATGCTGTCAATAGGATATTTCTGTGGCCCACACGATCAAGTTCAGACTCAGATCTACAGAGAAAAGCCAATTAATCATCCTTTGTTTGGAAATCGTGACAGCAGTACCGTCCGTGCGCATCAATAATTAAAGTCGTTCGAACTTTCTTATCTGCTCTAATCTCATTGTAATAATGACGCGTTCGCGGAGATGTCAGAGGATCCACGACATGATAGCAAACAAAGTCTGTAAGGATGGTTTTTTTTGATAAACTTGAGCCCTTCTATATATGCAAGGTAAGAGGTCGCTCATGCTTCACAAGCCCTCTCAGGTATCAAAGCCAGTTACAATTCCAGATTAGTGCAAGACTTACCGTGTCAAAATGGCCTTAAAAACCGAAACTTTTATATCCGTTAGCCATGCCCGCTCTGTCAGCTTACCTTCCAGGAATCATCCGATTGCTATGAGTGTTGAGGAGCACTTAAACAGAATCAGATCATCCGAAGCAGCAACATCCTCCTCAGCATCATCAGCATCTCAAAAGCTGGGAGACCTTAAAGATCTCTGCTCTTGCATCGACAATTTGCTCGAGATGCCTCTGACCCGGCAAGCGCTCTCTCATCAGTGCTGCAGAACAGGTGTTGAAGACTTGTTGGATGGATCTCTCTGGCTGTTGGATGTTGGCGGAACTGTGAGAGACGTTTTCTCACAAATGAAGGAATGCAGCCAGCAGCTTGAATCATCATTCAGAAGAAGAAAAAGACTCAAGTCTGGTAAGCGAAGTTGAGGCATACTAAGTTTCCGGAAAAAAACTCAAGAAAGTGATTGCCAAATGCTTTGAGAACTGGAAAAAGATGGAGAAGCACGCTGCGAACAAAGGCTTTGTTGAAGGCGCTGCACTTACTGCACTAAGACATGTTCAAGAAATCGGTCTTTAAGTGTTTAGGTCCCTCATGAGCTTCCTATGTCGGCGGAAGGCTAGACCAAATCTTAAAGGCTGGTCTTTGGTATCGAGATTGCTATCTTCTAAGAGGGTATCCTGTGAAGGAGACATGGATGCCAATGAAGTGGAAGAGTTGAATCTTGAACTGCTTGTCTTGAGATCTGCCAAAGACATCAATGTTTGAATGCCCGCTGCATTAAAACAACTGGAAGCAATGGATTCGAACATTCGGGAACTAGAGAAAGATCCTGAGTGTGTCTTTAAGCACTTAGTGAAAACGAGAGTTTCCCTTTTAAATATTCTCAACCCCTAATGTATTGACACAATGTATGCCCATTTTACAGTTTTACATTTTAGAACATTGTGTTATAACAATCAATAGAAACTAGAGAAACAATATCCAGTATCCTCTCTGTCTGTCTCAGTCTCTGTCTCTCTCTCTGTGGGTGCACGCAGGTGCGTATGTGTGTGTTCCATTTACTTATATCCACGTCAGAGTTAGCATTTCTTAGGCTTTATTTCGGGAATCTCCCAATCTTCGCTTATTTTCAAGTCCCGCACCCGCTCAAAAAATAAAGAAAAAAAAGAAAAGAAAAGTCCCACAGGAGAAGAATGAAATGAAGGGTGGAGTTCGCTAGACCTATTTGATCCACGCATCCTTACTGAACTTTTTTTTAGAAAGAAAGTCAGCTTAAAGTGAATTTATCCAATTGAGACATGATGGGTTGAGACAAAATGAATCCCTACAAACACTGAGAGTCCTTTCTGTAGAAGTAGTGAAGAACTATAGTCCATACAGCTTCCGTCAAATGATGAGTTCGGACTTTGGCCCTTGATTCTTACTAGTAATTAGGAGATCGTCCTCGGGCGAAGAGCTAGACAGCCTGAGATATGATTTGACGTCGATGTTGAATCAAACCTCAATGAAAACACTAGGCGCCATGACATGATATTAGAATTCAAAGTTGAACACCATCATCTTCAAAATCATAGTTTGCACAGAGTATTTCAAATGTACAATTTGTTCTGTATACAGTATAATATAGAACCTTACTAGTTTGCCTCAATATATGGATTTTCTCTAGTCTCTCATCTCATGGGAGAGTTCTTATCAAACAAAACACTTACTGTATGATTCACCGATACATTAAAAATGCGCATGAGGTTGCTTTGTGGCCTATTTGCAGATGAAAAAAAACCATATGACCAGTTCTACTGTCTGATTGGCACAGCATGATTATCAGTCAGAAGATCTGCGACAAGGTTGACCATCATTACATGAACATACACTCTACCATCCCAACATTATGAACAGGAAAAGCCAATGTTTTACGGGTCAGTATTGGTCGAAAACATTGAGAAGCACCGAGAACTGGTTAGTATGGTCCTAATAAGTGCTCAGAAAAACAAAAATACACACAATTTTTTAGTATATTTCAGGCCGAATATGAAAAGAGAAAAACAAAAGTGTTGAAGTACAGTGTTTAAAATGTGCATCCCCTACAAATTGAAAATTTACAGAAATTTAGTGGTTAGAGTTTTAGGCCCTGAAAGCAATACAAGGAAAATTAGCAACATGTACAGATCCTACTTGGCCAAGTTTTCTGTCATATACAAGACAAGAGCTACTAATTTGTACAAGTCCCAAAAGGCTAAAGAAATCCTTTAACTATTCCAGTGACATGATAATTCACTTATGAACACAGGTGTCTAGATTTCTTTCTTTCTTTTTTTTTTTTACCAATTTATTGAAGAGAGTGTTATTACTTGTTTGTGTGGCCGGGAACAGTGTTATCAGACCCCATTTTATATATTCAGTATTCTGACATTTTAACATGGTGATGACTGATGAGTTAGGGAGGCTTCCACAAGCTCATTTTTTGCCTGCATCACAACTAACGAGCAATTCAAATGTGAATGGAGATGAGTGCAGTTCAGATGATAATCTTCATACTCATCAATGCCCCTAGAGATGATCACATCTCTGTCTGGAGTCATGGAGGCAAGGCCTGGTGTGTGTAGATATTTAATTTACTTTCAAATTTTTGATTGATTAAAGCATCATTGGGCATTGATGAAAAACCGAAACAAATGGTCATTATTGCTGCTGAATCCATCATAGAGATGGGTTCGAGCCCATTATTTGAGCTCGAGGATGGAAAGATTCCACTTGTTCCCTAGCCACATTGGCATTTGGCAACTCTGTGACCCACATGATCAAGTTCAGTTTAAAAAAATTAGGAACGGCCAGTTATTGTTACTTTGTTAGGCGACCGTTGCAGAACACCGTATGTGGCATGATTTTTAAATCTGCTTAGAACTTTTCTTATATATTGTAATCTGCATAAGATCCGCTTTGATGGCGCATTCAGCACTGTTGGAGGATCTGTGACATGACAGTAGAGTAGCTCTGGAAGGATGTATTTGCATTCTTAATTCTTTATCTTCTATATATACAAGGGTTGAAGGGTGTTTGGCTTCACAACTACTTGAGCCATTTTCCAATCCATAACATAGAGAACATCCTGTTTCTCAAGATGGCCTCCATTCATACTTCGAAATGTCCTAGCCATGCTCACTCGAATAGCTTTCCTTGTGGGGTTCATCCTCTTAGCATGAACATTGACGAGCAATTAAACAGAATCAATTCATCAGAAATGACATCCACATCCTCGGCTTCCCAAAAGCTGGGAACCCTACAGGATCTCTTCGACTGTGTCGACGATTTGCTTAAGTTGCCTCTTACCCAACAGGCTCTTTCGAATGAACACCAAAGAAGTTCTGTGGAAAAGCTGTTGGATGGATCTCTGGAGCTGTTGGATGTTTGTGGGAATGCGAAAGATGCTTTCTCACAGATGAAGGAATGCATTAAAGAACTCGAGTCAGTTCTCTGGAGAAGAAAAGGAGGAGATTGTTGTCTTGCCAAGGAAGTTGAAGCCCACATGAGTACTAGAAAGAAGTTGCAGAAAATCATTTCTAAGTACTTAGTGAGTTTGAAGAAGATGGAAAGGAAGAACAGCCTTAACATGGACTCCAACAAGGAAGCTACTCTTAGCTTGCTAAGACAAGCTGAAGAAATCAGCCTCTCAGTATTTGCTTCCCTCCTGTATTTTCTTTCTCAGTCGAGTGCAAATCTGAAACGTAGCGGCTGGTCACGGGTTTCGAAACTACTTTCACCTAAACAGGTAGCATGTGAAGGAGAAGAGGACGCTAATGAAATGGCAACCTTGGATTCTGAACTGCTTTCCCTGAAATCAGGAAAAGCCTCCGGTCTCCAAGTGAGCAACATTTTGAAGCGATATGATGCGTTAGGGTCGAGCCTTCAGGAAGTTGAGGAGGACTTGGAATGTGTCTTCCGGCGCCTTGTGAAAATGAGAGTTTCCCTTCTCAACATTGTAAACCACTAAAAGATATCTGACTTACCATGGATCCAATCTATAGTGGCATCTATTGTACATTTTTGTTACTTGTACAGCGCAACATTGTACATGAAAGACAACAATATATGTCAAAACCTTTCAACAAGAAGTTCATGCCCCCCTCTCTCTGACTTTTCGTTCATCCTATTTCATGTCGAAATTGCTAATCTGCCATTTTCGACTCAAATTACCGGTTTTATGTGATCTGAAGTCTGAAGCATGGATATGCTCACAAGAATCAAGGGAAAGTACCTTTTTCCTAGAGATCGGCTGTCATGTCCTTGGATTTTCCCGGAAGAAGCATGCAACGGAGATTCACATGAACACGGACGCACTTCAAAATGGCTTGGTCCAAGAGACTTTTTTGTTTGGTCCGTATTCCAAGAGACTTGAAGCGCATCTAACGTGCACCACAAGCACAATTGTCCTCCGAGTCCATCATGCTATTTGCAGACACTTAATTTTTGACCTAAGGTTTGAACAAGACTGACAAAGACAATATTACTTTGTTAAAAGTTTGATCAAAGGGTACAAGTCGATCACCAAGAGCTTTCCAAGGATGCCCTATTTGTCCAAATTGGACAGCCTTAATGTATCACATCATTGAATCACGACCATGATTGAGAGATCTAGGGTTTTATGATTTGGCCAGAATGATAACTCACCTCAAAGATCCAGTCATATGCTTTCCGATGCTGCAAAAATGTCGGCAATCGGATTTTAATGAAGAAAATATGATAACTTTTCACTATGGTTATTCGTACTAACCGATTCTTGGAAGGCATCACCGCTGGTTTGAGCCCTAACTCGCCGGCCGCGCGGACACCTCGATTATAAAAAAAAAAAAAAAACCACACACACACACATTTTGGGGAAATACAGGTCACGAGCATTCCTTGGATACAAAGATTGGGTCAATTGAAAATTATACAAAAAACTTATATATAATTGAAATTTGGTCAAATTGGAAAAATTATCAAGAAAAGGGCTAAACGTCGCAATTTGGAGTGGCCAACATGTGGCAGTTGTTGGGCCTACTTAGTGCTGGTGTGCTTCGCTTGCCTTGCACAAGGCTAGCCTGCCCCTCGCAAAGCCGACTTAGCCTTTCGAATGGCAGGCCTGACCTTTCGACACCTTTTTGAAGGGATATTATGACACGTTGAAGGGTTTAGGATTCATCATCTTGGCTTACAAAATTTCTCCACAACAGGCATTCACTTTACATTTTCAACAAGGTATAAATCATGCCAAAACCCCTTTTCGATTGCATTCTCTCAAATTTTTGGTGCTAATCATCTTAATTTGATTTTGTAAATAAAATTCCTTCGAGGTTCAAACTTCAAGATTTTAGTGATCCCATGAGGGTGCGAATTGAAGAAAATTTGCTGTGATGGGTAAAGACTCTAAACCCCCCAATTAAAATTAGGGTTAATACCACGAAAAACCCTAAACTGGTACACTTGTGACACATTTACCCCAAATTATTTTTTTGACCATAAAAAACCCCAAACTGGTACACTTGTGACAATTTTACCCCAAACATACCACAAAAAATTCTAAACTGGTACAAATATGACAATTTTACCCCGAACTAATTTTTAATATTATATTTTTATTTTTTCTTTTCTTTTCTTTTCTTTTTTTTTTCCTTCATCTTCAACCTCTGGCCGGTCGCCGGTCCGGCGACCGGCCAGAGGCGGAAGCCGGCGAGGGCCGCCCTCGCCGGATCCGGCGAGGTCGACCCTCGTCGGTATCGGGCAAGGGTTGCCCTCGCCGGAGTCGGGCGGCCCTCGCCCGATGCCGGATCTAGAGAGGGCGACCCTCGCCTGCGTTTGGCGAGGGCCGCCCTAGCCGGGATCCGGCGAGGGCGACCCTCGCCTACGTCGGCGAGGGTCGTCCTCGCTGCCCGAGGCAAGGGAGACCCTCGCCCGACGCAAGCGAGGGCGGCCCCGCCCGACGCAGCGAGGGGTTGCCCTCGCCAGATCCGGCGTTGGGCGAGGGCCACCCTCGCCTGAGTCGGGCGAGGGTCGCCCTTGCCCTGGGCGGGCGAGGGCGGCCCTCGCCCGACGCCGGCGAGGGCGGCCCTCGCCGGCTTCCGCCTCTGGCCGGTCGCCGGACCGGCGACCGGCCAGAGTTTGAAGATGAAAAAAAAAAAGAAAAGAAAAGAATAAAAAATAAATAAATATTCGAAAAAAATAAAAAATAATATTAAAATTTTAATTCAGGGTAAAATTGTCACATATGTACCAGTTTGGGGTTTTTTGTAGTAAGTTGAGGGTAAAATTGTCACAGGTGTACCAGTTTGGGGTTTTTGGTGGTCAAAAAAATAGTTATGGGTAAAATTGTCACAGGTGTACCAGTTTGGGGTTTTTTATGGTCAAAAAAATAGTTTGGGGTAAATGTGTCACAAGTGTACCAGTTTAGGATTTTTCGTGGTATTAACCCTTAAAATTAATATGGTTGCTTTGCTGGATTAAAATTAGGTTTTGGGAAAATTATTTAAATAATCCCTAAATTTTGAATTAATGTGCAATGTCATCCCTAAACTTTTAATTTGTTAAATGTAGTTCTTGAACTATTAATAAATGGTCAATCTAGTTCGTAGACTATATAAAAATGTTTCATGTCGTTCTTCCGTTAATTCAAGTTAATGGAATCTATTGATGTGACTTTCAATCCGTTAAGTTTGGATGCTAGATAAAAACAAGCTACACGTGGATTATCCATGAAGATGTTCATTTCAAATTTGGACATGGTAATCCACGTCATAAAATAATGATGACATGTTAACGCTCTAATTCTTTTTGGTTAAATTAAACAATGGACATGTTGACTCATCATTTTTAAAAATCCAACTCAGCATTTTTAAAATCCACATAAGCAAATAACGCGTGATTTGTCGTTTGAGCAAATGAAAGGATTACCTTAAACTTTACCCATAGTGCTACATTGAATAAATTAAAAGTTCAGAGATGGTGTTACACATTAGACCAAAGCTAGAGAGCTAAGGCCCTCGGATACAATGTGCTTTAAAAATCCTATGAATCTTTTAACCTATTTCATTGAACTTTACTCATAGTATAATGAACACCGTTAAAAATTCTATGAGGCAACCTACATACAAAAGACAAATGATGGTGACATGGCGTCTATCTATTCCTTCCTCCTTGGTCTTCTTCCTTTGCCTATGAATGCGTGTGCCCTTTTCTTCTAAGAAACCCTTCAATTCCATCTAATTTTCGATGTTCCTAACTAAGTTGAGCATCCATGGTCTTTTTTGTATAAGGGAGAATCAAGTTCGACCCAAGACATGGATGAGGATTTTACTCCGGTTGATGTGGATGTGAACCTGGCGAAGAGGGACTTCTTGGATCGGATTCGAATATGCTTGGTCTGATGGGGCTCCATCTTCCATAGGATGGCGACAAGGGGAACTAGTCTCTGAGTTTGCGCATCAGATATGAGGGTCGGCTGAGGATTCCTTCATAGATGTAGATCGCCGAAGAGAAATCAACATTGTTGATGACGACGGTGAGGGCGGCGGCGGCAGACATGCCGGCCAGGTGCAAACCAAGGAAGAAAAGAAAAAAAAGAAAAAGAAAAGAAAAGACAAACATACATTGATCCACATGGGTACCACGTCATTATCGATTGCCTTCCGTAATCCATATAGGCAATCACATAGGATTTTTAACGGTAGTCATTAACAGAATTTTAACGGAGGGTAATTGAGTCACACGGTTACAAGTTTAGAGTTCTTGATGTTAAAAAAAAAGTTTGGAATAAATGTGTTGCAGCAAGTATAGTTTAACGTCTTTTGTGGTTTTTTCCATTTCCCTAAAAATACTTTCAACTTTCAAGACCCTTATTATATGTGGCTGAGAAGGGAAACATCGCTCCTCAACGGGAACACAGCGTCGTGAAGCTGCCCATGAACATCCCTAACAAAAACCACCCACAGTCCTTATCACGCTCATCATCAACATCAAGATAAGTTGCTCATTTTTACAATAGAAATATGTTGTGCGTTTTTCTCTCCAGCTCAATCTCACCCGACACACCATCATTTAAAATTTCTACAGATTCACCTTGCACGGAACAACCATCAAATGAACTTAAAACCAAATCCAAACTTCAGCGATATCTGGAATATAATTATGACCGAAACAAGCCCCAGCTCACTGACCACTTGCACAATCAACGGAGTCGAACAGCAAGAGACTAGAGACAATCACGGGGAGAGAGAGAGAGAGAGAGAGAGAGAGAGAGAGAGAGAGAGAGAGATTGAGAGAGAGATTGAACCTGCAGGGAACGAGCAGTAGAGCGAGGGAATGAACAGAGCGAGCGAAGGAACAGAGCAGTCGAGCAAGGGAGAGAGCGAGCGAAGGAGAGGAGGTGCGGAGCGGAGGCGTGTGGGGAGTAGGGTTGGGCAAAACTGGACTTATAATAAGCTTTTAAGGGTAAAAAAGGAAACTGACCATATTTCATTAATTGAGGGTTTCAGCATTCCGAAAATGCTGAAAGCTCAAAGCAGGTTAGGAACCTGCCTTGGGCTTTTAGCCTTGAAAATGCTAGCTTTCACTTGAAAGCCCCTTGAAAATAGTTGCCTAACACCTCAAATTTTTCCTAAAGGACTTTGGAGGGAAAATTTCAATTAAGGACCCCAAGTGGGGTCAAATTCTCAAAAAGAGGTCCAAAGTGAACATTGTGTCAAATAAGGGCATGAAGTGCTCAATCAATCTCAAATAAGGACCCGAAGTGCCCAAAATGTCTCAAATAAGGACCTGGATCCCTACGGCCAAAATACTGCCGTAGTGAGATAAATCTTGTTCGATGCTAGGAACAATTAATTTTTAATTTTTTATTATTTTCTTTCTTTTTTCCTTTTCTGTTTTTGTTCTTTTCCTTTTCCTTTTCTTTTCTTTTTTTTTATTTTCTTTCTCCGTCGGCCATAGCCGGGCGGCGTGAGGTCACCGGCGTCGGGCGAG